CAATGAATTCATTACTTTCACATGCATATGCAGTAGATATTTACTTACATATATATGCTAATGAAATATTCCTTTATTGTTCTTTATATGTTTCTAGTTATTTTCACATAATTTTTCTTTCCTTTTTGCATATATTTTTCATCCTATTATATACATATGGAACAGGCTGGAAGAACTGAGGTTTAGTTTATCAAATAGAGACCATTTTAGTGCTACCAATATAAGATGTAAATTGTTCTTATAATATAATATGTTATGTGATTTTATGTGACAATAGTGATCATCAATGATTGTTCTAAGTTCTAACAATAGGAGTTGGAGAGCGAAGAACTTTCATCTATGCAATGCATTACATATTTCTAGTTTAGTAAATATATACAAAATAATCACAGCAGCATGTACATATTTAAGCAACCAAATTAAAGATAAAATGAAGATATTAGTTAATTTAATCTCTTTTTCTTTTCCTTATCTTTTCAAGGAACTAATAATGCTTTCCCCCCCTCCTTTGATCCTTGATATATACAGAGACTTGTAAGGGAGTACGCTTTGAAATGGAGCCAATTAAGTAATAATGAAGCTCTCAATCTTCCACTCCCTGTTTTAAATGTTAGAGAACTTGATATTCAAAGTCCTAGAGTTGATCATTAGTTTCAAGTCATGGGCGATGACGATCAAGAAGAAACGAAGGACTCAAAAATGTTAATATTGAAACAACAAATGTTAGGAGGTCTTGTTCCCACACAAGTTTTGGCCTTTCAACATCTCCAGTCCTTAGAAATGATTCGATGCCAGGAGTTGAAGTTTTTATTCTCAATAAGCACCATTGTCCATAACAATCTTCCCAAATTGAGTTCTTTAACCTTATCTGATTGTGAGGAATTGGAGGTGATTTTTGGACATAGTAGTGAAGATGAAGCCAACTATAGTGAGAAGATTGTGCTTTCAAGCTTGAGGACGATAATACTTAGAAATTTGCAAATTTCGTCAATGTTTGTCAAGGGATGCAAATTCAGGTGCAGTTGAGCAACATTGACATATGGAATTGTCCCAAATTTGTTGATTCAAGTTTGGGATGGGCTCTTCAACAATTGAGAACAATATCAGTAAGAATGAATATTTTATATCATGTTGATTAGAATAATATATGGATTGGAATCATATATGTGCCATTTTGCTAGCTGGAAGTGCATAAAGGGCTTCTTTGTTTAACATTAAAAAATAAGTGATTTTTAAATAGTTTATAGATTTTATAAAAAAAGATTTATTTTATAGAAATTTTTATAAAAAGAAAACATGATTTTATGTTCAGTTAAAATAATAAAAAAGTGATTATTAGTTTGTTGAATTTTAAATTTGATAATATCTTCCTTGATTTTAGTTTTTTTAAAATGATTTATTATTTAATTATTTTAAAATTTTATTATATATCTTCGTATATCCTACATTCATAAAGCATTATCTCTTATTTACCTCATTAGATTATTTTTAAAAGCTATTCAAAGTTAGTTCTTTTAAAAAAAGAAGAGAAATCTATGCTTTTTTAATTCTGATTATTTTAAAAAGTTTAATCAAACAACATAAAAATTCTCAAAATAGAATTTTGTTTCAAAAAATAAGTGATTTTCTCATAGAATAAGTTGAAATAAACGAGCCCTAAATAGGGAACTTTTAAGGTATAATGAGAGGTAAGACACTAAGAAAATATACTAGATGCATGATTAGAAATATTTTGATGAAAAGTCATTTTATAGTAAGCTAAACTAATTAGAAATTGATTTCTATTTTCCCTGCAGTAATCACACATTGATACAAACACATTTGAATATCTGTATAAAATTTGTTGGGTATTCATGAATTTCTATTTACAACATATTGAATCAACATTTTAAATCCTAGTAGAAATAAAAAAAACTTTTAGCATTCAATTTGATTGATGTGGATAAATTTCTCTTTTTGTTAACTGAAGTTGCAATTCCCACAGGTTTCTACGGAAAATTCAAAAATCCAAACTACAGCAGATGTGGGAAAACAGTTGCCTGTAAATGAAGAAAAATTGATGATCTTGACCTCAAGAGTAGAGCAGTTGTTATTGAAAGAATCAACCAACCTCATGTGTGAACGGGAGGGTCCCACTTTCATCAGCTTCCAAAATCTTAAGGAGTTAGAGGTGAAAGGATGCAAGAAATTGAAGTGTATCTTTTCCAACACTGTCATCAGAAGCCTACCATGTTTGCGGTATCTAGACATATCAGAATGTGAAGAGTTGGAGGAAATAATGTCATCAGAGCCTCACTTTCCAAATGTATCCTCTTCTTCCTTCTGTTGCTTCCCACAACTTCAAGTGCTTTATGTCATTAAATGCAAAAAGTTGAAATGGCTCTTCCCCTCTCTGCCCTCTACTCAACATCTTCCGTCATTGCTTTCTCTAAAAATAAAAGAGTACTGTCAGTTAGAGGGACTTTTTAATTGTGAAGTTGAAATCCAAGAAGGGTTCTACTACAACCTACTTCCAAGGCTATGTTATCTTAACTGTTAAGGATTGCCCCATGTTCTCCGAAGCCACACTCGCTGCTCTTCAAACCTTGATCTCCAGAAGCCGGTACCCATAATAACTTGAAATGCACATTCTTTTTCGAAAACATGAGGATGAAACGTTGTTGACACATGCTGCATATTTTCCTCTGACGCTCATTCTATATTTTTTGCAATATCTATTTCGAGATTGTAATTTTTCTCCTATTTGTACAGTCGACGACGATAATGCAGCAAAGTAACGGAGAATGATGATCATTTCTCTTAACATTACAGAGGAGGATATGAATGAATGTGACAATGTAAGTAAGCCTTTTTATGTAATCAAGTATCTAGGGGATTGCAATATGTGATAACTGACGTATTTGAAAAATGGTAAACATAGATATGAATTATATATGTGATAAACTATATATATAGCTCTAATTAATTATAATACTGAAGAAGATGCTCTGCCTCTGGTGTTGAAAAATGTTAGCACAAGGCTGTTTTTCAACAAACTTAAACAGACCAACGATAACAAGGATTGAAAAAAAAAAAAAAACATAAGATATGAATGAACACAGAGTATGGTGTGGTGCCAGAATTTTCTGGATCATTCGCTTAAATTCTAAGCCAATAAAGAAAAGATAAAACACAGAGGTAGAGATTGAGAAACAGAGGGCAACAATATACTATGAAGCACAGCCATTATTAAATTTGTCTCACCATTATTAAAGCGTGAGACATGCATATATATATATATAATATGTATGTATGTATGTATGTATGTATACAGATCTAATTAATTATACAAGACACGGAGCAAACAACTCTTAGAATTAAATTAAAATGTTTGATATTTCTCAAAACTAAGAAGAAGGAGAGATGACTAGTTTATTTATATAGGAGAGGAACATGTGTTACTGATTATACTTTCCCTGTGTTACTAGTCAGTCCTAAACCAATGGATTATCATCCGTGAGTAATATAATAATAGAGGGCATCAATCTCTCTCATCAAACTAATGTGACATTAATTGGAATTAGGAGGGGAATTTCAAATTCTATCCCTTTATAGAACATTGAGTTCATCATGATCTTAAACAAAACCTTATTTATGTGCTTCTAAGTTTTCTAGGTAAACTACTTTTAATTCACAAATAAGCTTCTCATGATGTGTCTTTATCAAATTAACTTCATGCTGTTGATGTATGTTGTAATATTAGTCTTCAATTGGAAAATTCTACCGATGATGGTCTAAAATGGCAAGTCTCGTTGGATGATAATGATGATGATTCTTTTCACAATGAAAGAGTTTTACTTTTTTTGCTTAAAAGAATTAAAAAGTTGTAAAGATAAAAGAATTGTGAACGAAATGAACGTCAGTTCTTTTTTCTAATTCAATGAATAAAATTTTCAAAGACTTTGTATTGTTGTTGTTGTTGTTATTTTGGTTGAGCAGTCTTAGCAGATTGAGTTTAGATTATAAAATCACTAAAAAAAATTTTGGCATCTTCAAAATTTAAAGAGACATTCGTTCACTCTTGTTCACCAATATGATTAAGTTATAAAAACAATTTATGATAGTCATAAGATCAATATATTATATCAAAAATAATGATGAAAATAATAAATAGTAATAAAAAATAGAAAATAATATATACACATATATACATATAGGCATGTATGCGCGTGCCCCCTCTTAAGCATCTTAATTCATTTATAACTAGGTTTCGGGACTAATAATTCATTTAATATTTACTTGTATATGGATCTAACATTACTAACTCCCAACACTACATTATCAAAACCATATTCAATGTTCATCGACCTGATAAGATTTGGACCATCTAAATGATTTAATATGAATGGTCCAAACTTAAAATTTTAATTTATTTTTTTATTTTTATTATAAAATAATAATTTATGAAAAATTTTAATTTTAATTTAGTATCTGCTAGATAGTCTGGATTTAATTTGCATTGTTTAAATTTAATATTTATTTTTTAATTTTATAAATTGACTAACTAGATTTATTCTAGACAGTCTAAATTTAAAATTATTTTTTAAAAAGGTACCAATTAGAATATTATCTTTATTTTTAATTTTAATATTATATTTATTAAAATTATAAAAAAATTAATATTAAATCTAAACTATCCATAATACATATGTATGGCCAATTTATAAAAATATAAAAATTAAATTGGATTATCTAGACTAAATACTGTCTTGATTGATAATAAATTATTAATTAAAAAATTTGAAAAAATTTATTTTAATAAATATAAAATTAAAAAAATTAAATCTAGATTATTCAGACAGGGTGATTAGCATTATCACACCAATCACACCAAGATGCTCCCCCACGACTCTTATCATGTAAGCTTGCAAATAATGTCACGAAGGACACGATTGCAAGCTAAGCCGTGGACACTTGAGGAAGCGTACTGCACATTGCGACGAACAATGGACGAAGACACATTGTGAAGATGAACCTTAATTTTATCATTACAGAAGGCTTCTGCAAGATGTTACAATTGAGTAATTAACAATCACAGTCTCATCAAACTAACATTTTACCCAAATTTGCTTTGAGCAAGAACAAAAAGAAAAAGCCCAAAAAAAAATATTAATGCTACAACACCGCATCTCACAAGAAGAACAACTCTCAATATTATAATTAATAAGATTTCAGATAAAGCTGAGAAAATTAAATTAAAGCCCTAGTCTCAATAATGATTGTTCTTGCTTATGAGAAACTTCCCTGTAAGTCCACAAGTAAGCGCCTCGCTAGGAATTCTCTTCACATGCTGAACTCCTTCAGCAAAAATCACACCCATCCCCATATGCAAGTGAGGCTCTATGTGACAATGAAAAGCCCAGACCCCAGGATTGTCTGCCTTAAACCTTAGGGCAGTCCATCCATAAGGAAATATAGCTGCAGTGTTTCTCAATGGAGGGTTCTTCAAGTTGAACATCTTCTCATCTTCTTCCTTAAACTTCCCTTCTCCATACCCTAAAACCCAAAAATCATGTCCATGCAAATGCCATGGGTGGATCTCACTGCTATTTGCACTCAACATGTTCGCGTTCTGTAATATCACATCCACCACCTCATCCTTCTGGAACATGTACACCCCATTCCCGGTTGTTGAATTAGGGTTTTTCGCCGGGTTCATGATGTCATAGTCTTGCGGGAAGGTCTTTGGTGGAGGTCGCTGATCGAACACATCCTTGAGGTTGAACTTGATGGAGCCTAGGTATGGGGTTGAAGGGAGGCTTAAGGAGATGTTGTTGATGGACCATTTGATGAATCCATTGATTCGGTTTTGTGTGTTGAGAAGGAGAATTCTTTTGTGTGAGTACTTTGGAGGTTGTGGGGTTCCCATTAGGGCAAAGATTTTCTTAGTGAAGGTTTTGCTTCGATTAAAATCATTCCAAAGAGGAATTACTGGGGGTGGAGTAATAGGGTATACTGAAGCAGAGATGGTTTTGTAGTTTAGGATCGTTAGAGCTTGAGTAGTGTTCGGTTTTCGAGCTCGAACTCCGGCAGTGATCCAATAATTTTGGTTAGGGTTTTGGTTGGTGATTAAGAGGACGGAGTAGCTCTCGCCAGAGTATATGTCAATGTCGTCCACCTCGAATGGTTGCACGTAGTTACCATCAACTTCCACCACCACCAGTTTGTGATTCTGAAGAAATAATTTATGATAATTTGGTTATACCATGGATGATGAATTTTCTTTGTCAGAGATAAATAAAATAGACAGCGAATTGATTTAGATAGACACAAACAAATGTTATGAATTATGATTATGATTAATTATCATCTTGTACGGTTAAGGTGTGTGTGACTTGTGATGAAAAATGCTGAAGAATTATAAAATTAGAGAGCAAGTTTGATGCAAGAGTTGTGACTTTAAAGAACCAGATGCACATGTATTTGTATATCTATGAAACGAAAAAAAAAATTAGAATTAAACTTTAAATAGATAGATAATAATTATATAAGTATAATAGAGCATTTCTAATTATATTGCAAAGTTATTATAAATTCGAGGAAACAAGAGAGAAGAAAAGTGGATATAAAAAAAATCCATTCTTTTTCTTGAAGTGTCTTACGAAAATTTTGACAATCAGCACTCCAGAAACACTAGATTTAGACTATAAATAAATGGATTAAATAAATAGCCTTCGTCTATAATCTATTGGACTGGGAGACTGCTTGTTAAGTAAATATCAAATCAATATTAATATTAATTATATAACTGAGAAGCAAACAAAATTAAATTATTGTTATTGCAAGATAAAAAAAAGTTGGTAGGGTTTCATTAAAAAATTGTACAGTCGTTAAGATTGAAGTAAGATATAGACTTGGTTTCCAAGCCCATCGACAATTTTTGTCCCCACACACGCACTCTTTATTTTATCTCCAAATGTCATTTTTTCTAGAGACCATGACACGTTTATAATTCAAAATCGAAAAAGTTATATTTGATGTGAAACTTTCAACTAAAGTAAATTAAAAAATCAGAAAAGACGGTGCTAAATCTAGATATCATTGACTTGTTGAAAAAGAACACGCGGTGTATCTCTTAAGAAGTGCGAAAACCTTTGCTTAACACTTTTTTTTTTACTTTTTATTATTTTATATTTTTAAGTTACAATGTTTGTCTAAGTCTAAACCTTAAAAGTTGATAGTACCTGTTTTTATTTTACATTTATTAAGATAAATATAATAATATTTAGTAAAAAAATTAATAACATTTTCATCATCTCCAAATCTATATGAAATTTAGAAAAGAAAAAAAAACTGAGTCATGAACCAAAAAATTCATCTCAAAATCCTATACAAAATTTCATTTAAATAAATTTGTGTCAAATTTACCTTCATTGAATTATAACCAAACTTAGATATGACTAAATTTTCTCATGACAAGGAATCGCCAATTGATGATTCCTCCTATATGTTGACCCTAGTGGTGCTGTCTTTTTTTGTCTCCCATTAATGGGAACACAATGAAGCTTTTGAGTGGCCACATCAAAGTCAAACACTAAAACAGTATTATGAGAATATTAATATTAAAATTTTTAATTAGCATGAAAAATTAACATTAATACCGTGATGTGCACATTTTAAAACATTAAAATGTTTACTATAGAAATAATCATAAAATTTTAATAATATTTTATATAAAATATTAAATCTAAACAACTCGCTTCTATAAATTAAAATTATCTTTCTACACCTACTTTCTACATCAGGTGAAAAATTGATGTAAAAAGACACAGTAGCATTATCATAAATATGATGAAAATTTGGAAGATTGTTTACATCGATTCCTTAACCGATATGGAAAAGACTTTTTACACAGATTATTTAAAACTCGATTGATGTAAAAAGTGACAATATTTTTTGAAAAAATCATATCAACTTCTGCACCGGTTGTTTTTTCAGCAATTGTAGAATTGATGCAAAAGAGTATCTTTAACAAATGTAAAAAAGCATGCATTGTAGTGGTTCCTTTATAACAAATTTGATGATATGCATGTTGAAGGTGAATAAAAATTTAAAAAAATAAAAAAAATTGCTGCCCAACTGTAATACATAACAATTCCAACCAATATGAGCGAGCAGTGATAATACCCTTAAATTTTTTATGTGTATGTAGAGAGAGAGAGAGAGAGAAACTTACAGAGATGGCAAAGTTGAGGGAAGCCAAGGAAGTGGTGCTCGCAATTCGGATTCTGTAAGTCTTGTTTGGAAGAACATGAAGAATCTGAGGAGCACATTCTTCACCTCCTTTGAAGTTGCATTGAGGAAGGCTTGTGTTCATAAATTTAGCACCCAATGAACAATTGAATTGTCCCCTTCCATTGATCAGCAATGTCTATAACAACATTATGTTAATCAAAGTTACAATTTATTTTTATATTTTTTAACAAAATGACCATCAAACTATCCAAAAAATTTACTATAAGCATGTAGACCTCATGTCTGCATTCAAAATCCATAAACCATCCTTGAAATTTAAAAAAACAATTATATGAACTTCTTTTATTTTTTCTAGAATTAAGCAAATCTCGATCGTATTTTTAATGATCATATTTGTGAATATTTTGAAAGTTAAAAAATAAGATTTCTTTTTAATAAAACAAACGAATTATCTATGTAATTTCATTTTTATCTTAAAGAGCTAGAATTTGTATAAATTTGAAAACTTGAAGTAAAATTTAAGTGATTTCAAATTTAAAAATTTTAGCAGACTGTCGCTTTATAAAAGTGGGATGCTAGGGGATAAAGTTGTTTTATTTTATTTTAATCAAGGGGACAGAGTTCAATGATACCTAATTTGAAAACTAATGCAGCAACATGCAATAATGGGCCATATCAGAAATTATTCTACTTTACTTTTGGAGTGTTTGATAAGATTTCGATCTGCAATTTTGGAATCTGATTCTTCGAATTCAAATTATTCCCTTTTTATTTTATTATTCTTATCACATGGACCAAATGACAACACGTCAAGAAGCTAAAATCTAAATATTTAAACATTAATATTTAAAATAAAATATTCTCATCTCGTGGTAAACTGAGAACTTGAGAAGAAAACAAGATTGTTGTCTCCATTTTTCTACGTAGGATTGATAAAATTCAAAAAAAGGATGGTGATAAACAAACTGTGTATTTCTCGGAATGTGTAAATTGATTCTAATTGAAGATAACTACATGAAATTTATTTTTTTTAAGATTTAATTAATCAAGATTTGTGAATGAATAAATATAAAAAAAATACCTGAATACAAAAATTTAAAAGTACGTCAAATTAAATCTACTTCATAGTGAAATCTTTTAAAAATCATATATTGTTCCAAACCAATTTAATTTATTTATTCTTAATAAATACTAGTAGAACATCTCAAATCATTGTATAATTGAATCAAATTAGATCATTTTAAAGCCCATAGATTCATACAGCAGAAAAATATTTGCACACAGTTATCCACAAGATAATACTGATAAGACTAATTTT